AGCTTTTGCTCCAGAGAATATGGTGACCTGGATTAATGACACGTGAAAGCAATATCCAGACCCCGCCGCGTCTAACCCACAAGGGCATGCTCAGCCCCGCACCTAATAATCATCCCATACCAATGAGGATGCACAGGGCTCGAGCAGGTCCCTCCCTCCAGACTATAAGTCCAACAAATTTAGTTCCCGCAGCCTCATGCATGCTCACAAAGAACCTGCTAGGGCTGACAGATCTAGCTGAAAGGATCTGAACATGACAACAGCAGCCATCTAACAAGCGCAGTGATGTGTGGAACATACAAGGATGAACAGGAAGAAGAATTTAAAAGGTGACAAGAAAAAGCGCTTTACCTCTTTGCGAAAGATGGGTGATGGCGTCTCAGTAATGATCTGTGCCCATGCAGACACTGACAGTAATTGACTATAATAAATAAAATATCATGCAAGGAGTGTTATTGTGCCAAGAGGATGTCATCACTTTCTCCGTGTGAGTAATAATGGCCCATTAGTGCAGCTGCAGGTTACTCATTACTGTGATTGTCTGGGAAATGAGGAGCTTGTGAATCTATTTGAACTCTAATTGTTGAGGGGGAACGGAGGACCTTGGCTGTTCGGAGCACTGAATGTTTGGCCTTCCGTAAGAACAATGGGAGATTTTTCTAGGTCTCATTACATTAGTGTGAAAACCCTAACCACAGAAGCCATGAAAACTTAACACACATTCGGGGCACACATGCAAATAGACTGTTTTAATATTGATGAGTTGATGTGTTAATAGATAATGTGACTTTGTTTCTCCATATGCAGTGGACAAATTTAGTAAAAATTAAAAAAAAGTTTCATCATATTTAATTAATTCAATGAAGACTTCATTTCCCGAAATGGAAGGCCAATTCAATTCAAACTCGCATTCATGAATTGAAAGGAAGCTAATTCTAGATTGTGCAAAATTCTGCTACAGACACGAATGATATGCTATTACTTTTCAAATCAATTGGAATTATGGTTTTGCCTGGTGACCAATAAAACTGACAAAAAATAGCAATACAGTGAGGGTCATATCTAGGATCATACGTAAGGAATCGCAAAATGCCAAAATGCACCCTCTCTCTCTCCATAATGTGCACTGAAACTTTGTAAAATGCCTTTTGACCTTTCCAGTAAGCAACAACACCATGAAATTAGTGGTGGGCAGAAAAACAGAACACCATTTCAATGCTTTTGTGTTCCTAATTATGGACTAGCTGTCTTGGTGTTTTTTGTTTTTAACTGCAAACTAAGAGACTGTTTCTGTAAATATGTGCGGATCGTTTGCTGTGCCTTTAATCTCAGAACTCGTGTGCAGTTGGCTTAGTTAATTGCATCTCATTTCAGCAGATTGCACATTCGTGACTGCCCAGAAACTCCATTTGGTTATAATGCCAGGGGACTTGGCAAATTTAATTAGTGCTAAAATAAAAAGAGGCAGAGAGAGGTCCTGAAGAGAGGCAGAGCTATGAAAGAACGTGAAAGGAAGGTGAAAAGAACGAGTCAGGGGTTTTTCCAAATCAAGGGGTTTTATCATCTGAACAACATAATTTAAATTGATGTGATGCCTATGGGTATACAATACATGAGGACTGCATCCAAATAAAACCCTGTCGGGTCTGAAATTCATCTTAATTGTGCTGTTATATGGTTGGTCAGTTATCATAAGATTAGCATCTTTAATTAAAAACAACTGAAATACCTTTCACAACCCATTTTACTTGCGCAATAGGTCGTATTTCTGAGTGAAATAGAACATTTAATGTGGAAAAAATTGGTACAGATCCCTGTGACCAGCTATGAACACGTCATGCCACGACCAGCGAGGACCATAACGCAGACGTTAACAAGGTCGTTGTGCTTATGGCTACTGATAAGCTAAACTGGCTAAACTAAACTAAAAACAACAGCTCTGCCTTCACGTTTTGAATTGTCTCCCTATTTGAGTTTCCATAACAGATTCTGTTATTTTCCTGTTTAATTACTGTGAAGCTGCTTTGAAACAATTTTGACTTGACAATAAATGTGACTTGACTTGATTTTATTCATGGGATTTGGTTGACTCTTGAAAAGTAGACATTACATATTATTTAGAATAACTTGCACCAATGCATCGTGTACAATAAGACCAGTAATGTGCATTAAAAAAAAAGTGGTCAATTTTGTTTTAAACTTGCTTAGCAAGATTCTCTAACTGTTGATTTGTTTTGACAGGTTTGACCTGCAAGAGAAATGCCTGACCCGTAGAAGAAGACAAACAACTCAGAATGAGAGACACAAGAAGAGAAGCCTCTCTCCCTGAAGAGATCACTTCAACTCTCCCTTCCCATCGACTCTAACAGTGTCTGTTGATCTGCTGTGACATGGCTGACCTTTCCAGGTCCTGCGATGTGCCCGCACTGTTCTGTGCCAGGCTAAAAAGGCCAAACCATTCCTGAGAAACCTCCCTGCCACATTACCAGCCCACCATCGGCGAGAACTACTTCTGCATGCTCATTGCTCACAATAAAAAAAAAACATCTCACAGTCCTTATGCGCTACTGCACTAATCTGTATTATTAGATTATGGAATACTGTGAGTGCTGTAAATTTCAAGTGGCCTTTAAACACAAGAAAAAATAAGAATCGTATGTCCGTGGAAAGCCTCCTCCATGCACAGAGTGATCCATCTTAACAGAAATAAACAGAGCTGAGTATCAGAATGAAATTTTCATACAGTCACCACATGCAGTTCAGAGAGCAAAAGCGCCTGTTGTCAGAAGAGATTTATTTGTGTCTCCTGGTGTATCTTTAGAGAAGCAATGCGAGGCAGCATTTTGAAAGCACAGAGAGAGCGAGAGATGGATTTATGTTTCATTTGGTCTTCGGTTCTCTGTCGCATACAGACTGCGGACTTCCAGAATGAGCCAGCTGATTCTGCAGAGATGAATCATATAACTCTGGTCTTGCAGTTTTGGGGTACGAGTGTGAATGTCTCTTAAATAAATGTGTCCTCTCTGAAACTTCCTTAAAGGCAGCAAGCACTTCCTCACATTCAGTATTATTCAGTATTAATATCTTCTTTCATTACAATACATTGAACGATGTAAAAAAATATGCAGGCCGAGCAATTAATAAACTTGATCCCTTTGCTTGCAACTGTTAAAATGAGTGATCACCAAAACTGAGTTTTTCATGATAACAGAACAGAACCGATCCGGACACATCCAGTTGTGTCAAACATAATTCATGGACTAACATTAGATCAGCAAGTAGCCGAGGATGGCGACAAAGCTATTTTATATGATATTTATGAGAACAGCATTCGCTGTTCGCAGGCACTAAAAACACATGTCTTTTATTCGCAGGCACTTATAAAAGTGAAAGTCTGCATATTTTCGCCATATTAAGCCATCATTATACTTAGTAAACAACTAAAATAACTTTTTAATGGCTTGCTTGTCCAGACTGCCACTGTCAGATTTATAGATGGGAATGCTTGATGGCTCGGCTAGGCTTTATGATACCTCATTTAAAGTTCATTACAACGCAGGCTCTCAGTCATTTAAACGGGAATATAGAATCTGAGAAAGAGAGCTGTGGTCACAGATACTGTAGAAAATAGCATTTAGGCATGACATTTAGTCATTTTGACAGGTTATCTCTTTGTTGTGCATTTTCATGTGTTTGCCATAAACCATGTAGTGTGATAAGTTAATAATATCACTGTCACATTAATAATATCACTGAATGACACAGAGAGGCCATAAGCAATGAAAACCCCCAATTATACTGTCTTTTCTGACAGGGTAAATATAACTATTTAAAATCGTATGTGAAGTAGATTCATCTTTACAGGTAGAGAAGACTAATTATGGACTAAAATACCTTCTAAACAGAGAAAAAGGCATTACAGATAGGAGTAATGGCATAATAGATGACTCAGAGTCTAGAAAACTAAAAGGAACTTGGATTTAGTAATGGCAACAAAGAATTCATAATGCACAGATCTCTTTTGGAGACACTGCATTCCACATCACAGGATGGAGTGATTAATTGGCTTCTGTGGTTAAAATCATTTCTCATTCAACTGGTCCAGAATTAGCAACATATCAGTACAATGTGGCAGAGGAAATATATTACCTTTAAGTTCAACTTTAAGTACTTCGTTTCAGGGGTGCAAAAGTGGTTGGCACGAATTTTGGCTTAGCTTGTATGTGAATGCTCCAAATGAACTCAGACCCCATTAAATCGAACTGGACTGAGATCTCTGAAGGAGGTCTGAGTGCATCATGAACACAAAACTTTATTATTTCACACTAATAGTCACTAATAATACTTATAATCTTAGAAGTAAAATAAGACCTCTTTACAACATGGACAAAAAAATTAATGCCTGATTCTACTTTTTAAGTACAGGGACATTGTGAGTGTAAACAGAACTGGTTTCACTTTTTAGGACTATACTTAAAGAGGTGTTAGTGCACTCTATCCTCACTACATTGCTCAAGGGCGGTAAAAGTGAAGAATTATGATTTAATATATTACTATAGTAGCCTACACTGTAAAAAAAAATTCTAAGTTGTAAATGAAGATTATTGGAGTACCTTTTACAAAAATATGAAAAAACTATTTGTCTATTCCAGTCAAAATGTCACGTTTAATATAATGAACCAATGCCGTTTCATTTTGAAATTTGCTAGCAATTTCTGAGTAAAAATTGTGTATGATTTTTTTTATATTCAATATTTTTAAATAGTAGCCTAATAATGATGATGATGATGATGATTAGCATTCTTATTATTAATGAGATCTGAGCCCACTTTTCTAAGAGTGTGAAGGCAATTTTGCTCTGCTTAAAGGGGTCTGAGTGGACTCGTGTGTGAAAACACCCTCAGACTACATTTTACACTTCATCATTACCTTCATTAGAAGCAACAGAGCGGCAAATGAATTCTCCGAATTAGTTTATGAGAGAGAGGGAGGCGCGTTACCTCTTGCGCTTTGGAGACTGCTTTTTGTCCATAATCACAGGCACGCAGTTGGTCAGTTCAGTCCAGTCTGCGTGCAAACCGCAACTCCAACCCGTGGAGAACCTAGAGAAGAGCCAGGACTCCTGCTTTCCCGGCCGGTGGCACGTGCATTTCTTCTGTCCCGCTTTGCAGTCGCACGGCTGCTCCAAGCGAATATTCCTGACCAGGTGCCTGCCAAAGGTGGTCCCGCCTGTCTTCTGAATGTGCAGAAACACAATCACATCATCTCCCTTCATGTTGAAATCGACATCGCGTGTCAGATCGCGCTCTGTGAAGTTGAATTTAGACGCACATTTAGATGGGCTGTCTTCCTCCGGGTCCTGCTCCCGGTACAAGTCATCGGTGATCGAGTCAGGAGTGGCTGGAGGACCGATCCTAACGAGTTTGTCTCCTGTCCTGAAATGGCAAGCCTGACCGCCTGCCGGACAAATATACTGGTACCCAATCATAACAAAAAGAATGGCTAAAATTGGGATGAAAATCAATTTATTGGGTTTATCATTCATTTTAACACAAGGAAATTCTTCATGCAGTTAGTGTGAATCATGATCTCCTCTCCAAGTCTTCTTCCAGGACGTTCGTGTGGGATCCAGCCCAAAAAACCCATGCCACATGTTGATATGGTAAAAAGTGTGACATCCAAGTCTTCGCATCAAACTCGCTCTCTCACAAAGTTGTAAAAAAAAAAAAAAAGTGCAAGATACCAAACAAAATACATGCATATAACCAAATGCTGTTCAAGAACCGAACACCGTGGTAATATAAAGAGTAAGTCTTCAAAATACTAACGTCTGCTGCATGTGTAGCAGATGAAAGGGTTTGAAGTGCCTCGTTGGTCGGTTTTATTTTGCGGAGACTGTGTTCTCCATCCATCCCGCGACACGCATCAGCGGGATGATGCGAATGATGTCAAATGAGACGCGAGCGCTGTCGCACCGGTATAGCACGAGCTCTTTCGTAGCACGCAAACAATTCCATCTGCACCTGGTCCCAGTCCAGTGCTCTGCTAGATTGCGCAATAAAGTGTCGCCACTTCTGAGAGAATTCACTCTCTGCTATTATTTTCTTCACAGTTCTTTGCACTGTGCAATCTTTGTGCCATATCACTTTGTGGATAATCCTAATAATAACATGATTTGGAGCTAATCCTAATTGGCCGAGAAGCCTGTAGAATCAAAGAGATACTTTTGGCTAATTTTAAATTCTGGAAATTTAAATGAGCCAAAATGGATTTATTTATTTATTTATTTATTTATTTAATTAATTATTTATTTTTCCCCACAAACGATTTTATGCTGCTCATTTTATGTTCGACCTCAGGATAAACTAGCCTACATATAGCATATAGCCCATATTTACATATTGTCGCATTTAATTTGCGGAATTCTTTGTGTTTATTAGTACCAGGCAATAAACTTCTCTGCATGTTCATGTCTCAAGTCTGTAACTGTCAAATTAGATTTTAGTCCTACATCTTTGCAGACTAATGTAATATTTCAAATAATTTTGTAAATGATTGATGCAATAGGCGGTTTGTATATTACATGTGGGTTTATCCATTTAGCCTACTTCAGCTTTTGCCAGCTATGTCTCTATCATACAGTTTGACCTACGGTCCATATTCACTCTTCTCCTATGCAGCGCCCCCTTTGAGTGCGACCAGAGTACGAGCTGCATGGTTCTATTAAAGGCACAATATGACTTGAGTACTTACATTATCCCAAATGTTTCGAAGAATGTTTAAATCCAGAGAAATAAGCCATTTTAACTACTGACACGGACCGTGTCCATACCCAGCAAGCAATAGCCGTCATTTCAATGTCTCGGTTAAGTATAGACCCGATATAGTCCGGCTATGTGTAACCCACTTCTAGCCCAAATAACCTTGAATTTGGTTTCATGTCGTTTTTTGGCAAAATAACTTGTGAGATGTATGATATTCCATCATGTAAGCAAAGTCAACAGCGTTTACAGGGTGTTTGGTTTAATTTCTTTGACCTTTTCAATACGTAGCCTGAGCGTAGCCACGATTTAGCTCGTAGTCCGAGCGGCTATCTGTAGCCCACTTATAGTCAAACCTGATTCACTGTAGTTTTTTGCCAGGCAGCGCATGAGATTGTAGATATTATTGACACAGCGAACATGATGGGATATCAACTAAGATATAAGTGTAATTTCAAGACACGGTCTATATGTAGCCACGATTTAGCTCTAAATTGGACGGGCTACGAGTAGTCTGCTTTTAGCCCACCTGGCGAAATCGAGCCAATCTGTGGTCTAATTTTAACGGCTTGGCTATAGCCCTATACCAGTAACCAGACCAGCCATGAGCATAGCCAAAATAGCCTTAAAATTATTTACATGCAATTTTCGCCCACGCAGCTTCTTATCAAATGCAAGTAAACTTTTGAAACATTTAAATTAGCATTATTTTATATTTTATTTAATTATTTTACAGCATTATTAATGAATGAATGATGCATTTATATAGCGCTTTATTGTGTATTGTTGTACACCCAAAACGCTTTACAATCATGTAAAAGCGTGATTATTAAATATAGCATTATTTATTATGCCAAAAATAATGCTAATTTAAATGTTTCAAAAGTTTACTTGCATTTGATAATATGATGCCATGCATCCCACAAGCTGTTA